GCGTGGCCTGGCGGCCTGGCACAGCCTGCGCGTGGCTTGGAGGCTTGGCACGGCCTACGCGCGGCGTGGCAGCCTAGCGCGGCCTAGCACAGGCGCCGACCTGGCGGCCTGGCCCAGGCACGAACTTATGAATTGAAAAGGCTCCAGCCTCAGAAAAAAGTAAGCAAGCTCTAGCTCTCAGATTGTGATTTCTAGCTAGCAGCCTACAATGAGTAACTTAGCCATCGGAGTGACCTCATCGGGTTAGCCACCCCGAGTCCTCTGACATTTAGATCCTTGCAGGTCTCTAAAGAGCAACGAAGCTCATCAATCCAGCTCAACACCTAGTCAGCCCAGCGCCTCACAGGCCTGTACCCAGGCAGCTCGACACCTCACAGGCAGAGACCTCGGCGCTATAATAAGACCCAGTTGCCTCTACGGCATGGGCACCACTACTGAAAAATCCAGTCGCCTCTACGGTATGGGCAACACTACTGCTGAAAGACCCAATCGCCTCTTCAGGAATGGGCAAAGTTCAGGAGTGGACTACGAGTCCCTTCCAAAGCCTAAGGGCCACTACTGCTGAAAGACCAAGTCGCCTCTACGGCATGGGCAACACTACTACTGAAAGACCAAGTCGCCTCTTCAAGCATGGGAAAAGTTCAGGAGTGGACTACGAGTCCCTCCCAAAGCCTAAGGGCCACTACTGCTGAAAGACTCGATCGCCTCTACGGCATGGACATGGGCAACACTACTGCTGAAAGACCCAGTCGCCTCTATGGCATGGGCAACACTACTGCTTAAGACCCAGTTGCTTTGTCGGCATGGGCAATGTCCAAGAGTGGACTATAAGTTGCTCCTAGAACCTAAGGGCTAAAGTACCGAACTAGAAGAGACCTCGGCACCTAATGGGCAGCTCACTTCCAAGAAGCTCCCAGAGCCTAAGAAACTGAATCAGTCTTACGAGCTCGTCGACTTACTGGCCAAAAGTAGAAATCTACTCCCTTCGCCGAGTTACTTTCAGCTCGGGAGTGGGGGGCAAATGATGAGGGCGGATTTGGCCCTCCAATGACATTGTGACACTTGGCATCTCATGCCAACTAAGTGCAGCCTTCTTACAACTAGACAACTCGATTTTGCCACAGGCAGCTCGCCACTAGGCAGCCCGCTACAGACAGCTCGCCCTCATGTAGCCTGGAACCTCAGAACAACTAGGTTACACCCGGGACCACTTTGGCAACAACTTGCCTTTGCTAAGTTGGTGTCCCACCAAGCGTAGCCTGGCATAGGCGCAAGTTGGCAGCCTGGCCCTAGCGCGAGCTGGCCCTGGCACGAGCTGGCAGCTTGGCCCTGGAATGAGCTGGCGGCCTGGCCCAAGCACCGACCTGGCGGCCTGACACAGGCGCCAGCCTAACAACCTCGAGGAGCACACCTTCATACTCTGTATCCCGCAGGACTGTACTTTGTAACGACTATATTAGTTCACCAACTCCCCGGTTCAGATGGGAAGGGACAACCTTACTAGTTGATGGCATTTTTCCCACCTAACATGAAAGCAGGTCCCATCACAGCGGGAATCCAGGAACTGCTCCACCTAACCCACGAGGATTCTAGTATATAAAGACCTCACCCCCTAGGGGCAAAGGTATGCTAAAAGAGAGAAAAAAGGATGGTAACCCCTGCTCTCTAGCTCTCTCATTCTATAAT